CCATCAGTTCAGGGTCAGAGTGAGTCCACTCCACTCTCGTGTCCTGAGGCAGGTCAGCTGTAGTTTTGCAGGGCAGAATGACAGACTCTGAGCCTTCCTCCACCTCCACCTCCACCTGGTGGTCTGAGAGGACAATAAACCACAGTATCAGGTGTAGAAGCAGCAGCAGTCACACTGATGGTAACTGAAGCACGGCTGAGTATCTACACAGCAAATCTCTGGAGTTAAATATCCTGGAGTTTATTTTTCACCTTATACTACAGTCAGTGTTGGGGAGTACTCTAAGCGGTGTAATATTTAGGTGTTCATTCACTGGGTGCTAAGGTGTCTAATTCAACAGATTGCTGGTGTTGTTTGTCTGTCGACTGTTACCGCGCCTATCTGTGTTTCTTTCTTGGACTCCGACATGTAGGAGGTAGGTAAAAATACTTTATTTACTTTGGGATTTTCTGAGAGTGTAGTGATGTTATTTGTATATATTTGGTTGCATGTATGCATAAGTAAAATCTAAAGTTAACTAACTAGCACTACATGTGTTTTCTGTATGTTATGCTGATTTGGAGATAGCAGCTAGGCTAAAGCTAGTCAAAAGTTAGCTAACTAACTTATCTTACTGTATTTTAAGATACACATTTCATGTTGTCAATGAAAACGTTTATTTCTATTTCTTAATTTTAACACCAACGTTTAATTTAACGTTAGCTAACTACAGTAATATTCTGTTTAGACTCATGGTAATGGCCGTATTTAACCAACGAGAGGTGCAGCCTGCACTGATGAGATGTTGAGGTACCATTAACATCAGTTAGTTAGTCCTGCTGCACACTGAGACATGCACACAACCCTGTCTCCAGAACTGTAAAGACAAGGACACAGCAAACATGCGGTCACATAGTCTGCTAAACCAGCCTAGCTAAATAGATTTTAAGCAATATTTAGTGTGGACAGGCTAGCTCAATGTAAGAAAGTGTTTATTGATTAAGTTATACACAGTTTACATAAAGTTACCATATACAACCTCTTCTTCTTGTGTTGTGTTTCACATTAGTAAAGGTATTTTTTTTCGTGGGTGGCCAAGATGTTGATAAAAGTAAAACACAGAGAGACAAAGAAATATGCAAAATTGGAAGAAGTCAGCTTCACAGATTTTGTGAGAGCAGGTAAGTTATGGTTTGTACTAAGTCATTAAAGAGGAAATGATAATGTTGTTAGTAACCGAGTGATGATTTTACTTCAGTGCAGCAGAAGTTTCTCATACCAGAAAATGCAGCACTGAAAGTCACGGATGAGCAGGGTATAGAGGTGGATGAGGATGTCTTTCCTGAACTTGCAGCAGGCAAAGATGTGTGTTTTGTCATCTATACAGCTGAAGGTAAGTAAATATGCTCTGATAGATTTTGAAGGATTCGATTTGTACAGTTACTCTTAAATAAACATTTTTAATTTGTCTAATATCCTGTGGTAACAACAGTAAGTTGGATTTATCACATGCATTTCAGGCATCCTGGAAACACAATCATCCAAGAAGCTGCGCGACTACTCACACCTAACACACTATGTGACACTCACACCTTGTGGTATGTAAATTGTATATTACCATAATAAAATACAAGATAACCATCTGTTCTCCTGGGAGAAAGTATACTTTAATCAAAGCGTGCAGTTTACTGGCCCTGTGTGCATAAATGGCATCTTTGTTGTGTTGTGTTTTTGATTGTAGATACCTTATATTGTAATATTTTTATTTGTCACCCTCAGATTTGACTGTCCTGAAGCAACATGTGGAAGAGTCCTCCTCTCCAAGTCTAACAGATACATTTTCTGTCTCAACCACCGGCAGTCAGAGCAGTGACACAAGTGATGCCGGACTTCAAACGGTTCAACCTCTATTGGACAGCATACATGAAAGAAATGTAGATACGGTACTTAATTGACTTATACTTGACTCTTTAGTTGCCATTGAGCTATAGTCAAAATCTCTACCATTGGCCAATTCATATTGTTTCTATCTATAGCCCTATAAGCGTAAAAACTATAATCTCTATCAAAAAAGGAAAGTTTGGAGTCTAACCTTAGAAGTAGAGAGGGTGTCTGGGATCTTTTGCTTTTACTCTTGAATGGTTTCATAAAATATTCACTGGATCTTTCTCTGGGACAGCCAGTCCACTGAAAAAGATGCTTTCTATTTAGTTTTTTACAAATGTCTCTCAAATGAGTAAATGCTTTGTTTGTGTATAATGAACTTACAGGAAAGTCTATTGAAACTATTTCAAGTGTTTCCGTCAGGCAGCAGCTGTCTGAGATGATGGTTGATAAATGTAACAGATAAAAACTTAAGCAGAACAATATCAAAATATAAACATCAGTCCTACAGTTTTATGCCATTAACTCTGCAGTCCCCTCACTGTTACCTGAACCCCGCTATGATTTACACTATGTTAGGTATTTTAGTACCATGGGAGCATTTACTGGATATTGTTTTATAGTGACATTATACAGGAAAACTCTGTCATTCAATAAGGCCCCTTTGTTTTAGTTATTTTTCTCTTTGACCCAAGAATTGATGTGTGAGAATCACAGGCTGGTACAAGGTTGAAATACCACAGAGATCACTCCCTCAGCTACATTAGTTTCTAAATCTCTTAGGAGACGCCTGTTGAAGGCCAGATGGTTTGTTTCAGAATTCACTAATGAAAGAACTCTTTATTTCATGCCTTGAAAATATGTCGCTGAGATAATCATAATTGTAGCTGAACTGATAAACTATACAAAGGGTGCTTCTTCACCCAAGGGCAGGAAGACGCTCCCTTATCTTGGTCTGTACTGGTTTAAACTGAGAATCTGCTGTCTCATGGATTTTTCCCTCTATATAAACTGTTGTACTTGAGAATAAAGTTGAGTCGATTTGGGAAGACAACCTGAAGCAGTCTCTGTTTTCTTGTTCTCCCAAGCTGCTCCCGAGCTTGTACTAACACGCTGAAAGGCATGCTTGAATGTTACTTGAGAATATATTTGACTGTGTTATAGATTAAGGGACAATCTCTGCTGATAGACGCCCACGCCTCGGAGGAAGCCGATCCATGGATTAGGCCCTGGAAGCCGTTTCCTTCACACTACATATCCTAAAACAGCACGGTGGCACGGTGGTTAGCACTGTTGCCGCACAGCAAGAAGGTCCTGAGTTCAATTCCAACATCAGGCCGGGGTCTTTCTGTGTGGAGTTTGCACTAGGTGTGAATGTGCGAATGAATGTGAGTGTGAATGGTTGTCTGTCTGTGTTGGCCCTGCGACAGACTGGCGACTTGTCCAGGGTGTACCCTGCCTCTCGCCCTATGACAGCTGGGATAGGCTCCAGCGCCCCCTGCGAACCTGAAAAGGATAAGCGGGAGCGAATGGATGGATGGATGGATCCTAAAACAGCAGTTATTAACCTGAGAGTCTCAGTGACATCAGGACCAGCTGGATGAAACATGATGAACCATCTCTGCTCTGTCTGCGTTTCATAGCAGCTCCTCCAGTCTTAGTCTGTACAACATCAGGACACTTCCTGCTGCTCTGTGAGCTGCAGTGAGGCTTAGAGAGCTCATGTTCTCCACTGTGTACAGTGTGTAAATGTTGCGAGTGTAACCCTGCACATGCAGTAAAGACTGCAGCTGTTGTAGCAGAGACATCCTGTTTGCACTGAGGTTAGCTCTGAGCTACATGTTGCTGCTGGTTTTTCAGGTTAGTCACAACAATTTACAAAACTTCAGTTTGACCTCTTACTCTGAGATGTCACATAGATAACAGGCTCCATGTGGAGTCTCTAACCCACCCAGAGTTCTGACTGACCTTTGACCTGCAGCTGTATATCTCTCAGTCGCAGTTCTTCTCTCCCATCACTGATGGAGCAGGTGTAGTTGCCACTGTCAGTCTTTGTTGGTTTTCTCAGAGTGAGGCTGAAGTCTAAAGTGTCCAGAGCATCAGACCTCATTGATGTGCGCCCGCTGTAATGCTGGTTTTGCCCTGTAAGATCGTCTCCTCCTTCTCGTTGTAGATGGACAGATTTGGGATCAAGATCAGAGCGAGTCCACATCACTGTGGGATCATCTTCAGGTATAAAACCTGAGTACTGACAGGGAAGCAGGACAGATCTTTCCCCCTCATTCACCTCCACCACCACAGCCAGGGCATGCTGGGAAACTGAGGACACATAAACACAAATTAACTGCATGCAGTGTGTTTATCTCAGAGCCCACATTTATCAGCAGGACACAGAGACCAGTTTTACAGTCAGACACTCAAATTGAATGCATTTATTTATTAAATCTGAACATTTAATCTGTGAACACCTGACAGATTAAACTGAGTGTGTCTGTGCTCATGAACCAGCCTCAGTTTGGTGCATTTTACTGAGTTTACAGAAAATGTTGGAAATGTGACTCTTCCTGGTCTTTATTTTCTAAGCACTTCCTTTAACTTTAAACATCAAACTGTTTAACTCCTCTCTGGAGGGGAGAGGGAGGGGAAACAGGAGGACAAAGGAGGGGGAACAACTAAGCTGTAGTGCCTCTTCACCTCACTGTACAATACCTTGTGCAATACTTTTTGTAAATAGTCAACGGTGCAATAGTTCAATACTTGAAATGTGCAATTCACTTGTATTTTTATTTTTTATTCCTATTTATTCTATTTATCCCTTTGTATATTTTATTTATATTTGTCTCTGTATTTATATATGTGTGTGTGTGTGTGTGTGTGTGTGTGTGTGTGTGTGTGTGTGTGTGTGTGTGTGTGTTATATTATATAAAATTCTGTCGAATTTCCAGAGGAACCCACCGAGGGATTAATAAAGTTCTATCTTATCTTATCTTATCTTATCTTAAACTCTGCTGTATCTTCATCTTTGTTAAATGTTTTGGAGGACCTGAAGGTTTTCTGCTCCCTCTGAAGAGTTCACTGTGACAGTCTGCCATCACGATGAGCTGTACTGAAACCTCATGTTCCCTTTGAACTGAACGTACTCTCATGATCCATCTCTCTGAGACAGACCACCAACTGGCAGAATGAGTCACATGAACACAGCCAACATGTTTTTCATCACAAAAACAAAAAACTGCAGCTAACACAAACCATTTAAACTGGTGATAAATGAACTTAAAACCCAGAATGAAGCGTCTCAGTAAGGTGTTGGGATGCTGTGAGCCTCCAGATCAGCTTCACTGCTGCTCAGCATTGTTTCTGTGAGGAGGGATGAGCACTGTTCTTCTGAAATATTCTCTTATTCAGAGACAGATTTACTAAGAGGCGAAGGCTAAAAGGCTGCAACTGCAAAACTATCCCACCAGGAGTAGAAAGGTCTGTCAGTTATTTTATTTTAGTGTTTTGATTCTGTTAATACTTCCCCAGTATGTACTGTTCCCTTTAAAGCAGAGTACTGTGTGTGCTGTCAGGTGACTCCACACTGTCCAGTCTCTTTGTGTGCTCCAAAAATCCTGTTTTGCTCAGGATAATTCTTCACTGAGAGACGTGACCCGGTCATATCTGTATTGCAACCATAATTAAAGCGGTTCCAGTTCTCCAAATAAAAAGTGTCACAGCCATCTCATGTAATTGGGAGCGGGGCCTGGGTCTCTACAGTTTAGGTTACTCACGATATTACCTGCTCAGAACCCAAAATATGAACTATGTACATAAACCACAAGACAAGGATTTCATCTGAAATGCATCAGTTTGACTTTATTTCAGGACAAAATAAAGGAAATAAGTTAATTCAATTGGGTTTAGTGTTATTTTAATATGTACCACTGATGAAGGGGTATTCATTACCGTTCATTCACTACAATTTCTAATACCAAATAAAACTAGATAATTAAACACTATGGTGGGCCCACACTCACTCTCACCCATGCACACCTTAATTACAACAGTCTCTAATGATCTGAAAATAAAACCCTGGTTGCCTGCTTGGATCATGACAGACACATGCGCTGTGGCCTAAAACCAAATGGCCACTTCATTTGTAAACACACAATAAAATAAAAGGCACATGGAAATATCAGTACTCACGGCTTAAGATAGTTCAAAGAGACAGGCAGGAGAAAAGGGATCAAGAAATGCACTTAAATACCCAGGATCCTGATCTCCAAAGATGGAAAACAGTTTAATTTTGAGCATATTTTGGTAAAACTATAGGTGGCAAAAGTACACACATTCTGTAGTTAAGTAGAAGTACAAATACTACTGTTAAAAAATACTGTATTTTTTGGATTATAAGGCGAACTGTCGATGAAGGGGTCTGTTTTCATACATAAGGCGGACTGGATTATAAGGTGCATTAAGGAAAACAAAACAGTCAGATAAGTCAAACTTTACTCAACTCATTCTTCTTGCTTCCTCCACTTCTGCACCATTACCTCTATTCCCATGTTGTTGCAGTATATGAATGACTAACCTCGTATTGTGGAAGGATTATCTCAGTTGTTCTCCTGACTGAAGTTTGGTCTGTTTACAGCATCCTGCCATGCGATTGCATTTGTCTCTAACAATCAGGAATCCTTACATTAACTTTTATCAAGTGGAAAAAAAGTTAGCGTTCATCCTCCAGGTTTCCAGCTTTGTACCTTACCAAAATCGTGCTAAAACATTTTTTGACAGATTTTTCAGCACCATATGCCACAAAAAATCGGTTTGAGGTCAGTAAGCACTACCAGAATTCATACATAAGGTGCACCAGATTATATGGCGCACTATCAATTTTGGAGAAAATTAAAGGATTTTAAGTGTGCCTTGTAGTGTTGAATATAATTTGACTTCAACAAATTTATATTTTGCCAAGATTGACATCTTTGTTTGTTTCATTAGCTTAGCTGGAGTGAACCCATGAAAATAATTTCATTTTATTTATTTGAACTTAATTTGTGGTGTAGGTAATTTGATTGTGCTTTTCTGTTAATAAATGAATGAGTCATTTGTGTGTTTTGACACTGAGTGATAAATCAAGTGAAATTGCTACAGATCCATGAAAGTAAAGCTAGCTTGACACTGAAGTTTTTTTGTTTCTTTACAGGGAGTGCAGAATTATTAGGCAAGTTGTATTTTTGAGGAATAATTTTATTATTGAACAACAACCATGTTCTCAATGAACCCAAAAAACTCATTAATATCAAAGCTGAATGTTTTTGGAAGTAGTTTTTAGTTTGTTTTTAGTTTTAGCTATTTTAGGGGGATATCTGTGTGTGCAGGTGACTATTACTGTGCATAATTATTAGGCAACTCAACAAAAAAAAAATATATACCCATTTCAATTATTTATTTTTACCAGTGAAACCAACATAACATCTCCACATTCACAAATATACATTCCTGACATTCAAAAACAAAACAAAAACAAATCAGCGACCATTATAGCCACCTTTCTTTGCAAGGACACTCAAAAGCCTGCCATCCATGGATTCTGTCAGTGTTTTGATCTGTTCACCATCAACATTGCGTGCAGCAGCAACCACAGCCTCCCAGACACTGTTCAGAGAGGTGTACTGTTTTCCCTCCTTGTAAATCTCACATTTGATGATGGACCACAGGTTCTCAATGGGGTTCAGATCAGGTGAACAAGGTGGCCATGTCATTAGTTTTTCTTCTTTTATAGCCTTTCTTGCCAGCCACGCTGTGGAGTACTTGGACACGTGTGATGGAGCATTGTCCTGCATGAAAATCATGTTTTCTTGAAGGATGCAGACTTCTTCCTGTACCACTGCTTGAAGAAGGTGTCTTCCAGAAACTGGCAGTAGGACTGGGAGTTGAGCTTGACTCCATCCTCAACCCGAAAAGGCCCCACAAGCTCATCTTTGATGATACCAGCCCAAACCAGTACTCCACCTCCACCTTGCTGGCGTCTGAGTCGGACTGGAGCTCTCTGCCCTTTACCAATCCAGCCACGGGCCCATCCATCTGGCCCATCAAGACTCACTCTCATTTCATCAGTCCATAAAACCTTAGAAAAACCAGTCTTGAGATATTTCTTGGCCCAGTCTTGACGTTTCAGCTTGTGTGTCTTGTTCAGTGGTGGTCGTCTTTCAGCCTTTCTTACCTTGGCCATGTCTCTGAGTATTGCACACCTTGTGCTTTTGGGCACTCCAGTGATGTTGCAGCTCTGAAATATGGCCAAACTGGTGGCAAGTGGCATCTTGGCAGCTGCACGCTTGACTTTTCTCAGTTCATGGGCAGTTATTTTGCGCCTTGGTTTTTCCACACGCTTCTTGCGACCCTGTTGACTATTTTGAATGAAACGCTTGATTGTTCGATGATCACGCTTCAGAAGCTTTGCAATTTTGAGACTGCTGCATCCCTCTGCAAGATATCTCACTATTTTTGACTTTTCTGTGCCTGTCAAGTCCTTCTTTTGACCAATTTTGCCAAAGGAAAGGATGTTGCCTAATAATTATGCACACCTGATATAGGGTGTTGATGTCATTAGACCACACCCCTTCTCATTACAGAGATGCACATCACCTAATATGCTTAATTGGTACTAGGCTTTCGAGCCTATACAGCTTGGAGTAAGACAACATGCATGAAGAGGATGATGTGGACAAAATACTCATTTGCCTAATAATTCTGCACTCCCTGTAGTACTGTCAGCATTACTCTCGTTAAAATGACATTAAAGCCATAACGTGGCAAATCTCCGTTGACGAGCCCCCGTGTGTGGGGCTGGACGGCGTCAACACATTAACAAGCTAATTGCGTGAACGCACTAGTTCCCACCAATGTAATTTAGCATTGCGTGGCACATCCGACATACTGTTTTACTTTTGTCCATGACGCGCTTACCATCAGGGTCATACTGCTTCACATGAACACCAAGATAGTTCCAAACGCCAGATCTGAATGAGGGTGGGGGAGGTTCAATTTGCCATGTTGCAACGAGTTTAGCTTCTGTCTTGCTAGCTTCCGCTGCGCTCAGTGGACATGCACTCAACAGTGCAGCCTAAGCAGAGTAGTCGAACGCAGATCCACTGTGTGCTCAACAGAGAAAGCATCGTCAGAAAAAAAGTTGATAAAATAAATAAAAAAAATTGTATTGTCCTTGAATCAATTGTATTGTCGATTCAATCGATTCAAGGTAGCAATTCCTCCTTGAATCGCTACCTTATCGTGGTGGAGGGGTTTGTGTGTTCCAGGGATCCCAGGGGCTAT